ATGAATTTGGTCTGTCAAATATTATGCTTGTCTTGGTAAAGACCAGAATCACCTGAGTCTTGATTAACAGGACTGTCCACTCCCAAGTCACTATTACCGTAGAAATAATGAGAAGTTGGGCATAGCAAAAAAAAAAAGATTTCTATTTTTTGTTTTGAGATAAGGATCCAATGTCATGTTTGGTAAATAAATGTATCAAGCAAAGTCTGTGTTAGTTTTGTTACAAACTTCCATTTTTGACACTTTGACCAAGAACTTGTGTCAGTGATTATTTGGGGATGATTTTGTGTTTTCCATTTGCACTTTCTGTACAACATTTATGTCTGCATCTATTTGAGATGGAAGGTCATTTCTAGGACCACTAAGGACTTATTGCAGAGATAAAGAACAGCAATCAAGGTCTGAGAATGTATGTTGTCCAGAAGAAGTCCATTCCTCTAACCAGATACCAAGAACCATTTCTCTGTTAAAGACCAAGCTTCAGAACCAAGAAGTAAAGCAACAGCCAGAGCCATCTTGAACTGCAAAAGCTATTTGACCTTCCATTGTTACCTGAAGTTTGTGGAAGAACATGACTATTAAACCTGGTGATCAAAGTGATAAAATATCTGGTGATCCTTTGACTGACTGGATTGGTCTTTACAGTAATTCAAGGCCACATTGCTGGTAACAAAATCCCAGTGACAAGAAGATGGCAGAAGATGCCTTTGGAAAAATAAATCCATCAAGAGGAGCTGAATTACTATGAACAGAGCTGTGAGACATGAGTAAATCTGCAATATGTTGTCTTGTTGATGTCTTACCAAATATCAACAAGACAACATGTTTGGTACGAGAACTGCATCTGTATGAACAATGGTGCTCCAGGAACCAAGAATCATCAGTACCTTCAGTGTTGTCGGCATCTTAGCTATCTGATAGTAGAGCAGTCAATAGATGGCATCTATATTAACTGCCGCAGTGGAATGGTAATGACAAGAAGTTCCACCAACATTCATAGGTAGCACTGGAGAAAACATGGCCATTTCAAGTAAATGATTGCCTGTAATGGTTTGACTAAAGGATAAGTGGTGCAACACCTGAATATGAATTTTTACAGTTCAGCATTCAATGCTTTAAAGTATTTGATGGGGGAGTAGCTTACCGATTAGCCGAATTCTGCTGGCATTTTTACCCTGTTGAGAACTGAACAGTTCATAAGGTTGTTTTCAAGGCCTGGAAACATGGGGTTCATATGAGCATGGCTGCCTATATGGATGAAATGCAGAGTGAGGTATGTCCAAATGGGGAAATGGTAGATTTTGTTGAAATCCTCATCAATAAAGCCAGAGAGGGAATCTTGAGCAAGTTCATGCAATACTACGTGGGTGTCAGGTCAAACTGCTGTTGATGGTTTCATTTCACTTGTGGATAGTATTCATGAATAACAAATCAGGAGCTTCATAAGGAATATCTGAAGGATCCAGTACTAGCATTCCTGCTACTTATCATGCAGCAAGATAAAGAATGGCCTCTACAGGCTCATAAATGAAAAGTAATGCACAAAACCTGTGGAAATTATATGAGCAATTAGAAATTCACGATGATGCACTGTAGTAGTCCTAAGAGCCAAATAAATATGGTTCATTATTTGTGATACGGCCAGTGGTCCTGAGGACTTGACACGATGAAATGCAGGAGTATAGAAGAATATTTCATGTACTGTTACCAATGTGCAAGAACTATTTTCTCGAATAACACGCAGTACAATTTTCCCTCTACCTTTCAACATGTCATCCAGGGCTATTGTAGAATCTCTTCTGGAGAATGATGATGATCAAGATGTGTTGGTTGTGACTAGTTATTTCAATAAGTGGACCCAAGCTTATCCACTGGCTGACACTTTGGTGTAGTCCATTGATTACTTGGAGCATATGGGGAGATCAACGTGTATCGAAAGCTAACTTCACAGGCTGTCTATTTGCAGATTTGTGTTAAATGTGATGGAGATTCATACTTCATATTATCTTCAGTTTAATGGCTTGGTGAAACAGTTTATTGAGACAGTTGGTGAACTATTATTAAACTAGCTGGTATTAACATCTGCATATCATGATGGCATACGAGGCAACAGAGAAACAGTCCACTATTTTTCTACTAAATTTTCTGATGTTTGAATATAAATCAAATCTCACTATTTATGTAATATATGGTCCACCTCCCAGTAGAGATGATCCACAGTGCCTACGCAAATATAGGAGCATCTGAGATCTACACAATCTGATGCATACAAATTTACGTATTAGCAGATGAGTAAATTCATATTATCTACCAAAAAAAAGACACATCCAGAGAATGCATTTCTGGAACTCAAGAAGTCCTGTACAAGGAAAAATGTTTTTCATCTAGTTGGGCTCTGAGAGATGTGCACCATCAGGACCTACCCCCCCAGTGAGGTACCCTGATCACTCTCCACTTCAAACATTACATGACT